CCCCCCCCCCCCCAACCCATCTGGAAAGGGATTCAGCCAATGGAAATTCACCCTCTGAGCTTTCTCCACCCTCTGAGGGCATAAAACCCTCTGGGGTGGGGTGTGGAGGCTGTGCCTGTCCCACAATCACCTCTTCCAGCCCTGCCCTGGCCTGTGGTCTCGGCATTTCAGCTGCTCCCTTCCAGAGCCCTCCTGCTCTCACCCCCTGCTCGCACCCCCTGCTCCACTCCCATGAGCCCAGACATCTGGACTCTCAGCCTCCCCTGCTCTCCCACCCCTCACCTCCATTCCCCTCCCAAAGAACCCAGGTGTCTGGGCTCCAACCCCCCTGCTCTCACCCCCACAACCCCCTGCCCCGCTAATCTTGTAGGGGAGAAAAAGGGGAGTCTGTGTGTGGGCCTGTGGAGTTGGAGCACGGGGGGAGCTCAGACACCTGGGTTCTTCCCAGCAGTGGTAGAGCCATGGCTTAGAGCGATGGGGGCAGATCATGTGCCCGGACACCTGGGTTCTCTCCCCAGGGGCAGCCAGCAGAGGAACTGAGAGTGTCAGGCCTGGGTGCGGTGCTGCATCTTCGGGGTCCAATGCCCCGGGTGTGATGCTACCCACAGCCAGAGCCATCCAGCTGGAACGTACAGCACTGTGCGCCGGCCCACATCCAGGTTGGGGGGGCAGGGGGGGGCTGGGAACACCTGGGTTCTCTCCCCAGATCTGGAATAATAAAGGAGGCTTGTGGAGGGGAGCTGGGAGCCCAGACATCTGGGTTCTCACCAGTTCTGGGGGGGAGGGCAGTGAGGGCTACTGGAGGTGAAGTGTTGGGAGCTGGGTTCTCACCAACTCTGTTAGGAAAGTAGGGGCTGGGGGTGGAGCTGGGTGCCTGGACGCCTGGGTGCTCTCCACAGCTCCAGGATGTTGTTCAACCACGATTGCAAAATCTCCCTGTCAGCTTCCTCCTGCCAACAGCTCTGAGCTTCCCCAGCCATGGGGAGAACCTGCCCTCCCTCGCCTGTTTCTTCCTCCCCCCCCACCCCGCCCCATGAAACTGCAGGAGAACCCAGGTGTCCGGGCTCCCATTTCCCCCCGTCCAACCCCCCAACTCCCACTGCCTCCCAGAGAGCCCAGGTGCCTGGGGTCCTCGTTGCACCCATGGATGCTCACATGATGCAAGTAAACCGGTGTGACTGTCTGTGTCTGTCTGCCACCCCCTGCTGGCTGTGACCATGTCCATCCCTTGTCTGTTGATGCCCCGCCCCAACAATCCCATTGGCTGATGGCCCTGTGACCCCACCGGGGTTCCCAGCACCCACTGGCTGGGTATGGGGGGACCCACCACAGCTTCCATTATGGTAGAATCCCCTGTAACCTGCATTATGGTATGACCCAATCAAGACTCCATTGTGGTAGGGCCCATCACAACCTCCACAATGTACTCCTCCATTTCTGTAGGCCCCGCATTAAACTTCCATTAAGGTAGGACCTACCATCAACCTTCCCTTGTTATAAAACCTTCCAAAGTCCTCCATGACAGTGGGATCCTTGTCAACCTCCATATTTGTATGACCCACCATAACCTCCATGGCACAACCCAATCAAGCTTCCATAATGGTAGGACCCACCATAACTTCCACTATAGTAGGGCCCACTGTAACCTTATGGTACAACCCAATCAAGCTTCCATTGTGGTAGCACCCACCACAACAGCTATTGTGGTACAACCCAATTAAGCTTCCCTAATAGTAGGGCCCATCCTCCAACATAACCTCCACATTGGTAGGACCCACTATGAGCTCCATAATGATAGGACCCACCCTAACTCCATTATGGTACAACCCAATCAAGCTTCCATGGTAGTAGGACCCAGCACAACCTCCATTAGGGTAGGACCTGTTATAACCTCTATTATGGTATAACCCGATCAAACTTCCATTACGTTAGCATCCACCACAGCCTGTATTATGGTAGAATCCAATTAAGCTTTCATAATAATAGGAAATAATAATAAAAAATAATCATAATAATAGGGTGCTATGACCCAATCGAGCTTCCATAACATACTCGAGCTTTCTCGACTTCTATTATGGTACAACCCAATTAAGCTTCCATTTCTGTAGGACCCACCACCACCTCAATTAGAGTAGACCCTACCAGAGCCATTTCTGTAGGCCACACACAAAACCACCATTAAGGTAGCACCCACCAACATCCCATTACAGTAGACCTTACCCAAACTTTCATTTGCATAGGTCCCACCATAATAGAGACAGCTGTGACTGGCTGGTGCCCACAAAGACCCCAAGACCACCGCATCCTACTGGGTCCAGGTTTATATGGTGGGAAGGAGCTGAAGAGCAGAGGGCCGAGGGCCAAGGTCTGAGGTTGAGCAAAAAGGGTGGGGGTGGGGGCACAGCAACTTGTCTCCTAGTCCTAGAACATTCAACGGACATTGAAATACTCCAGAATAAGCTCCAGGACATGTCAAGTTTAGAGGATTTACCCCAAATCACAGAATTGGACTTGAAAAATAGTTCTGAGAGAGGATTTGGGGTTTGGAAGCGGGGGGGCTGGGTACCTGGATACATGGGTTCCCTGGGAGCGGGGAAGTGGAGGTGAACCCGGACACCTGGGTTCATCCCTGTTCAGGGAGGGGAGTGGAGCGTGGTGGGCTGGAGAGGGTGGGGCTGGGAGCCTGGATGCCTGGGGTCTCTGCCAGCTCTGAGCAGTGAGTGGGGGCTGGTGGAGTTGCACCGGTGGTGGGGCTGGGAGCCCGGACGCCTGGGTTCTCTGGGTTCCCATTGACTCTGCAGTTTCAGTCTCTGTCTGTTCTGCAAAACTAGAATGAGGTAAAGAAGAGAGATTACAACACCAACCACATGACACACCAGTAGGAGGCTGTGGGTCGGGAGTGAGGGGCACTGGCAGGGCTGGGGGGGAATAGGGGCTGCAGGTCGAGAATGAGGGGCACTGGCAGGGCACCAGCAGGGGTGGCAGGGAAGGGGGGGGTGCAGGTCAGGAGGGAGGGGCACCAGCAGGGCTTGGGGGGAGGTGCTGCAGGGCAAGAGTGAAGGGCACTGGCAGATGGGTGCAGGTCAGGAGAGGGGCACTGCACCTGCAGGGCTGGGGTGGCAGGAGGATGTGGGTTTGGAGTGAGGGGCATCAGCAGGGTTGGGGGCACGCACCCTGCCTTTGGTAATAGAGGCTGGAGCCCAGGGCAGCCATGATGAGACCAGAGACATAGAGCAGCGCCTTCACAAGCAGAACCAGGAGGACAGTAGGTTGGTTGGATCCTTGGCCAGGGCCTGCCCCTGGGAAAGGAGAGCAGAGAGGGTGTTGAGAAATGGAGAGAACCCAGGTAACTGGGGTCCCATTCCCACCTGCTGCCACCCTCCTGGTCCCCTCCCAGAGAACCCAGGCATCCAGGCTCCCAGCTCCCCTGCTCTCACCCACCTGCCCAACTCTCCCCCCAGGGAACCCAGGCATCTCGGGGATTCACAGGGCCTGTCCACATGCAGGTGGGTGCCTTTGCCAGCCATCTCAGTTGCTCCATGCAGGGTCACCAGGCAGCGGGAGGTGCCAGCATTGTAGTGCCTCAGGTCGTGGATCGCCAGGTGAGCACAGCCCTCCTCAAGGAAGACCCGGTCTTCAGGTAGCCTCAGCCACCCCTAAAAGGCGAGGATGCCCGGGGCCACTGCCAGCTCCTTCTCCCAGCAGTAGCTGCCCCCCTGGGCAACCCGCATGGAAGTGTTGTAGGAGCAGGGCAGGGTGACAGAGCCACCCTCCAGGCCCAGCCAGGCTGGGACTCCCAGAGTGCCTGAGGCCAGGACCCTGGAGGGAGGAGAGATGGGGGGAGTCAGTGGTGAGGGGTTGGGAGGCATGTGGGGTTCTGCTCTGCCCCTAGCTGGGGTCCAGGGGGCAACCGGGTTGGTGCAGGTGGGGAGGACTAGCAGCCTTTCTGTATGTTCATCCGTCCATCCCCATACCCCATCCATTCATCAGTCTGTCCCCATACACATCCCCTCCATCCATCTTTTCATCTCCATCCTATGTTCCTTCCTTCCTTTCACACGCCCTTTCCATCCATCCATGTGTCCCTTCCACCCTTGTCTCCGCATGTCCCCTACGTTCATCCATTCGTTCCTATACACACCCCATCCATCCATCCATCCACATGCCCCCTCTTTTTGTATTTTTTTCACTTGATTCTAAATCATGATATTGCATATTTATGCAATATCATAATATTACATAATATTACATAATATTACATAAAACTATCTAATGATAGTTAAATGGGACATAACATGTTACAAATGGTATTTATAAATTAACTAAATTGGAGGTATATTGGATTTAAGACTGTAATTAAATATCATATGCATTATTTCATTTGAAGGTCTTTTAAATATTTTATTACTTTCTTTTATAATGTTATATATATATATATATATATATATATAATGTTATAATGTTTATAATGTTTATTAAATATTGTCTATTATTAAACCTTATGTTCTTTTAACTTTTTTGTTCATTCAGTTTATGCTCATTTTATTTTGTATTCTATGACATATCTTATTTTCCAGTACTTTATTTTGGTCTGAACAATGATATTATGCAAGATATGATGTAATATTATGTAACACATAAATATGCAATAAGAAAATCAGATAAACCTCAGTCAGAGGTATATTGTATTAGACACCATAATGATATCATGTAATTCTTTTTTAGTTTTACAAAAATCAATTTTATTCTTTCATTGTATATTGTTCTATTTTATTGTAGTATTTAAGTTTTTTCTGTGTCTTATTTGTTTATCCTGTGAGCAATGCTAATTGCCTAATGAAACTTCTGCTGTGTGAAGGGCGGGATTTTGGTTGATTTCACTGGCTTCCTGAGCTTCCGTTATGGATTCAAATGAGGTGACCGGAGCTGTGGGGAATAATTACTGGCCATTGCTAAATAGTTTCTGTCCCTAATTTGCATTTTTTGAGGCTGACTGTAGCCAAACCATACATACTTCTGGGCCTAATAGATCACTTTCTTAGGTTGTGAAAGTCAAGGGTAAGTAACTGGTGTATTAATTATATGTATTAGGGTTGTTTATTGTAGGTGTGTTGGGCTAAGGGCATAGGCAGACAAGGTTCTTTGGGTAAATCTGATATCTAGTTGGTCTAAATAAAAGATACCACATCTACCCAAAGAACCTTGTCTGCTTAATTATATGTAATGATTTATATGTGTATTGTATTTACATGAAATGAACATGGTGTGAATCCAGTATGTAATATGCTGTATTGCCAGCAGTAACCTTAAATAAGATATTAAATAATGATATGTCATAACAGTGCATAAAGTATGTTAATTTGCTATAATTTGTGTGCGAACGATCCTTAAATATGCTCTTCTTTAAGATACGTAAGAGTAGATGCTAATATTGCATAATAGATGCAAATTGGTTTTAATCTGTGAGTGAGCTATCTTTAACTATGCTTTTCATTGATTGAGATTATGCAATATTCTGTGCTAGTATTGCATAAAATATGCTAATTCATTTTCACATGTGAGCTATCTTGATTAATGAAAAGCATATAAAAAAGTAGCTAATGCACGTGTATTGACATTTTAATGCAATATTAGCCAATAATACTGCATTTCTTAATCAATTAAGAGAATACTTAAAGATACGTATTATCGGCTAATAATGAATAAAACATGGATTTCAATGTGTGCGTTAACTAGCTTTTAAATGTGCTTTTTGTTAAGTTATGTAATATCATGTGCCATGATTGCATAAAGCATTTTAATTGGTGCCTGAGCTACCTTTAAATATACTGCTCATAAATATACCTTTAAATATACTTCAAATATACTGGCTTGAGTCATACCACAGAATTGTGGAAGGGAGAGGGTGGCCTGGGCTATATCATGTCATTGTGGTGAAAGAGGGTGGCCTGGGTCAGAGCACCTCACCATGGCAGGGTAGAAGGTGGCCTGGATCATACCACAGAACCATAGAGGGAAAGGTGGCCTAGGTCACACCACGTAAACATGGAGGGGAAGAGAGTGGCTTGGGTCACACCATCTGAGCAGGGGGCATGGGGTGGAGTATGGCCTGGATTGTACCATTGGCCGGGGGGCGGGGGGCATGTTGCGGGCTGTACCACGTGATAAGGAGCAGGTGACACATGGTGCAGCATGGCCTGGATTGTACCACGTCATGGAGGAACCTTTTGGCGTGGCCTGAACCACAGCATGTCCTGGGGGGACAGGGAGGGTGTGAGAGCTCTTAGCATGGTGTGGCAGGGCACTGTTGGTGCCTGCCACTTTAAGGGCTGGGTCAAGCAACCAGGAGGTGCTTGATTGTGGCAACCATTTTAGAGCCCTGGCCACCTATATAAACAGAGCAGTTTCCTGCTGGCAGCCAGACAGAAACATCGCCTGGCCGAACTGCTGAATGGAACATCTTCAGGTAGGAGCAGGAGGCTCTTGGTCCTGGGCATAACCTAAAACTGCACCCTGCTGGGAATGGGTGGCCTGGTGGGGCTCCCAGTGGCGTGGGAGCCTCCAGGAAAATACCAGACCACTTACCACCCCGGTGGAAGGTGGGTTGGAGTGCCTCAATAACCCCTAGCCCCCACATCACTGCGGGTAGCAGTTGGGGCCAGGCACGGCTACGGCCACCTGAGCCCCCACGGGGGAGGGAAGCCCCGTAGCCCCAGTGTGGGGGTGGAAGATGTGGAGCCCCAACAAGGATAGGTCCCCAGTGAAGGGGTAGAGATATGGAGCCCCAGCATTGTGTCACCTGGATGCCATCTGTGAGGCTTAGGCTGTGCTGTAGGGAAGGAATGGAGCTGCAGATACCACCCCCTGGCATCAGGGCAAGAATGGGTAGCCTCCTCCCTAACTGGAATCAAGTAAAAAACAACAAGGCGTGGCAGAAAAGTGAGGTGGGCGGTTGGCCCAGAAACAGGTGGGTGAGCCAATGGTGGACCGGCCCCAGGAAAGCCCTCCTGTGACACATGGAAGACGTCCCCCATCATTGGGGGGTTGAATCAATCTCTTGGGGGGGGGCAGGGGGAGACAGGAAATGGGACAGAGAAGAAATGCCCAACACAGTTTGCAAAGAAAAGGGGAGAAGCCAGGTGTGCGGGCCCCCAGGCCCCCGCTGTAGCTCACCAGACCTCGCTCCCCTCTGAACTGAGAGAGAACCCAGGCACCTGGACTCCCATTTCTCCCTGCCCCTCAGTCTGATCCACCAGCCCCCACTTCCCCAAGCTAAGGCAGAACCCAGGCACCTAGGCCATACCTGCTCGTAGCCAGTGCTGATGCCACCACCACAGGCCACCAGGGGCGCTGTGAGCCACCCCTAGGTTGGTTCCCAGTCCCATGAAGCACTGGGGCCAAGCCAAGGTTGGGGGCAGAGGTGTCAGGCTTATAGGGCGATTTCCGTGCCCACACTCCACCCCACCCCCCAGCACCCCCTGCTCTGATCCCTGACCCCCCTCCCCTCCCAGGGTGGGGAGAGAGCCCAGGCATCTGGGCACCTAGGCTGGCCCCAGTGCCAGGCACCAGAGGTGAGATTCACTGCCTCTTCTAGAGGGAGCATTAGGCCCTTTTGTGCAGGTCCAGCCTGATGTCACACTACAGGGGGGCACCAAAGCCAGTCATACCGTCCCCATCTATCCATCCATCTACCCAACACCACATGCCTCCATCTGCCCATCCGATCATTCATCCGTCTGTCCATCCAGCCAGCCATCTGTCCACCCACCCACCCACTTCTGCATCCACCTCCCCATACACGTTCTTTCCATCTACAGGGAGGAAAAGAAAGATGGAGAGTCCCTCCTGCCTCTCTGGTTGGGAGTCCAGACCAGGCTTCACCCTCCCTTCCCCATCCCACTTCCCTGAGATGCTCCCTCTCCCAAAGGAAGGCCAGTGGCCTGTGACCCAAGCAGAAGCTGGGGCTCAGTGCTTGGCCCTTGGCCACAGTGTTTTCATCTTGGCTTTGGCCACAAACAGGTCATCTCTGGGCTGGCCCATCCCGCTCTGCCCAGAGATGCGCAGACCAACCTCTCAGGCTGCCAGAGATTTCTTGGGCATCTTCCCCCAAGGCCCCTCCCTCTGTCTGTCCTCACATTCCTCCTCCATCCATTCCTTTTGCCATCTCCACACACCTCAGCCATCCACAGATTCCCATGCGCCCCTTCTGTTCATCTATCCATCCACCTCACCTTTCCTCCTTCCCCACATCTATCCACTCCTCCATCCCTTCAAGTGTCCTCCATCTGTCTGTCCATCCCCCCAGCCATCTCCTCCTGCCTTATACATCCACGCATTGCCATGCACTTCTTCTAGCCACACCTCTGTCTACCCCCCGCATGCCCACTCGATCCTTCCATCCATCCCTTCCTCCCCACCAACCCCATCTATTCCCACAAGTCCATTCCTTCCCTTCCTTCCTATAGGCTCCCTTCATCCATCCATCAGTTCCTCCCTCCCTCCCCCTGTCCATCCATCCCTCCTAACACCCCCTCCAGTATCTCTTGATCAGCACAGCCCCCTGAGGCACGCCATCTATCCATCCATCCTTTCACCCAGCCACCCCTGCCAATGGGGTATGCTCTTCCTGTTCCACTATCCATCCATTCATCCATTCCTTCCTCCATCCATCCATCCATCTGTCACTTGTTCAAACCCCACTGAGGACTCACCTGCATGGGTACTGCTGGCTCCAGCCTCCCCAGGATTGCAGCGCCTACCCCCGTTATGGACCTCTCTGTCCTTCCGTCCTGTGTCCCAGCCAGCCCGTGTCTATCTGTCCTGCGGCACTGGAGGAAGGTGCAGTTGGTCTTGCTGCTTTCCCAAGCACCCTGGAAACCCCAGTGCTCATATGAAACCAGAACTGAGAAGAAGATGCATCTGCCTGTCATTTTACTGGGGCTCTGTGGGGAAGGGGATGGGGGCCTGGATGCCTGGGTTCTCTTCCTGTATCTGGGACAAGAGAGGAGGCTTGTGACAGGGTGCTGGCAGCCCAGACACCTGGGTTCTCACCAGCTCTGTTAGGAAATTAGGGGCTGGGGGTGGAGCTGGGTGCTTGGACGCCTGGGTGCTCTCCACAGCTCCAGGATGTTGTTCAACCAAGTAAACCAGTGTGACTGTCTGTGTCTGTCTGCTACCCCCTGCTGGCTGTGACCATGTCCAACCTTTGTCTATTGATGCCCCACCCCAACAATCCCACCGGCTGATGGCCCTGCAACCCCACGACCTTTCCCACCTGGGTTCCCAGTGCCCATTGGTCTGGTATGGGGGGACCCAATCAAGTTTCCATTATGGTAGGACCACCCCATAACTTGCATTATGGTATAACCCAATCAAGACTCCATTGTGGTAGGGCCCATCACAACCTCCACAATCAACTCCTCCATTTCTGTCGGCCCTGCATTAAACCTCCATTAAGGCCCCACCCTAAACCTTCTATTGTCCTAAGACCTACCAAAGCCCTCCATGACAGTGGGATCTTTGTCAACCTCCATATTTGTATGACCCACCATAACCTCCATGGCACAACCCAATCAAGCTTCCATAATAGGAGGAAGCCCACCCCACCCCCCAACCTCCATATTGATAGGACCAACCTCAGCTTCCATTATGGTACAACCCAATCAAGCTTCCACTACGGTAGGACCCACTATAACCTCCATTTTTATAAGACCCACCACCACCTCCATTACGGTAGACCCTATCAGAGCCATTTCCGTAGGTCCCACAGAAAACCACCATTATGGTAGCACCCACCAACACCCCATTACAGTAGACCCAGCCCAACTTCCAGTTTTGTAGGCCCCACCATAACAGAGACAGCTGTTACTGGCTGGTGCCCATAAAGCCCCAAGACTGACGCATTCAGCTGGGACCAGGTTTATTTGGGGGGGGGGGGGAGGAGCTGAAGAGCAGGGGGACAAGGGACAAGGGCTGAGCTTCAACAACAAGGGGGTGGGGGTCCTAATCCTAGGACATTTGACAGGTGCTGAAATACCCCTGAATCATCTCCAGGAAACTTCAGGTTCAGAAACAACAGGATTTACCAAAAATCACAGAATTAGCCCCCAAAACAGTTCTGGGAGAGGACTGGGGGTTCAGCATGGGGGGCCGGGAGCCTGGATATGTGGGTTCCCTGGGAGGGGAATCGGGGTGTGAACCCGGACACCTAGGTTCATCCCTGTTCAGGGAGGGGAGTGGAGCGTGGTGGGCTGGAGAGGGTGGGGCTGGGAGCCTGGATGCCTGGGGTCTCTGCCAGCTCTGAGCAGTGAGTGGGGGCTGGTGGAGTTGCACCGGTGGTGGGGCTGGGAGCCCAGACGCCTGGGTTCTCTGGGTTCCCATTGACTCTGCAGTTTCAGTCTCTGTCTGTTCTGCAAAACTAGAATGAGAGGAAAAAGAGGAAGAGAAGAGAAACCACAATTGAGTGATGTAGCTACATGACACACTGGTAGGGCTGGGGGGAACAGGACCTGCAGGTCGGAAGTGAGGGACACCAGCAGGGCTGGAGTGGGCGGGCATTGATCGGGGACTGCAGGCCAGAAATGAGAGGGCACCAGCAGGGCTGGGGTGGCGGGAGGATGAGGGCTGGGAGTGAGGGGCATGAGCTGAGTGGGGGGCACTCACCCTGCCTTTGGTAATAGAGGCTGGAGCCCAGGGCAGCCATGATGATGCCAAGGACATAGAGTAGCGCCCTCACAAGCAGAACCAGGAGGACAGTAGGTTGGTCAGACCCTTGGGCTGGGCCTGCCCCTGGGGGAGCAGAGCAGGAGAGAATGCTGGAGAATGGAGAGATCCCAGGTATCTGGGGTCCCACTCCTGCCTGCTCTCACCCCCTGGTCCACTTCCACAGAACCCAAGCATCTGGGCTCCCAGCCCCCACTGATCTCCCTCCCGCCCCGCCTCCCCTCCCCTCCCAGAGACCCCAGGCATCCAGGTTACTCACCAGGCCTGTCCACGTGCAGCTGGGTGCCATTGCCTGCCGCCTCAGGTGCTCCGTGTAGGGTCACCAGGCAGCGGTAGGTGCCAGCATCATAGTGCCGCAGGTCATGGATCTCCAGGTCTGCCCGGCCCTCCTCAAGGAAGACCCTGGCCTCGGGCATCCCCAGACGCCCCTGAAAGGGCAGGACCCCTGGGGCCACCTTCAGCCCTGGCTCCTTCTCCCAGCGGTAGCTGCCCACTTGGGGACCCTGCACAGAGGTGTTGTAGGAGCAGGGCAGGGTGACAGAGCCACCTTCCAGGCCCCAGGCCCAGTTGGGTTGGGACACCCAGAGCTCCTGGGACCAGGACCCTGGAGGGAGGGGAAATGGGGGGAGTCAGTGGTGAGGGGTTGGGAGGCATGGGGGGTTCTGCTCTGCCTAGTTGGGTCCTAGGGGGCAACCGAGTTGGTGCAGGTGGGGAGGACTAGCAGCCTTTCCTTATGCTCATCTATCCATCCCCACACCCCATCAGTTCATCCATCTGTCCATCTGTCCCCATATACATCCCCTGCATCCATCTTTCCATTCATCCTTCCATCATTCATCTTTATATCTTCCTTCCTTCCTTCCTTCCTTCCACACACCTTCTCCATCCATCCCTCTGTCTATGTTCCCCTTCCACCCGTCTCTCTACCCATCCCCACATAGGCTGCAGAAGGCTGGGGCTAATGGGGCTTACCCCCACAAATGCAGGGCAGTGGTGGCAGTACAGAGGGCCACAGGGCAGCCTGGGCATGGGCTCCTGAGTGGCTGCAGTAAGGTTGGCAGGAGCACACGTAGACACAGACATAGAGCAGTGTCCACCACAACAGGTAAGTCTGTCATGAGGAAGAGGCATGGGGGTGCAGATCGAGGCCCCCCCAGTGAGGGAGGGAGTGGGGCAGAGGCAGGGAAGAGGCAGGGGCAGGGGCAGGAGTGAGTGGGAGCCTGGGGTCAGGGTGAGTTCTGTGACACTCGGAGCCTGGGTGGCTTATCCAGGGGGGCGAGGGGGCTCCCACTGCTGTGCGCACCCTGGGGGGCACGTGTTCCCCAGATCTGTGTGTGTGGTAGAGGCGGTTGCCACTGTGTGCTGGGCTGTGCACCCCACTGCTGCTGCCCTGGGAGTGGTACAATGCCAAGTGCCTGCTGCGTGCTGACCATGCCATGTTCCCTGCCTGCCTGACAGCGGCTGACACATGGTGTTGTGCCATTCCCAAAGCAGCGGCAGCAGGGCACACAGCCCAATGCACAGCAGCAGCCTCCGCTGCCCCGCCCAAAGATTCAGGGGGCACATGCCTGCCAGACCTCCACGGGGGTGAGCGCAGCAGCAGAAGCCACCACCCCCCATACCCCTGGACAAGCCACCTGGGGTCCAAGCATCCCATGACCTACCCTGGCCCCAGGGGGTCCATTCACTCCAGCCCCAGCCCCTTCCCTGGCTCTGCCCAACTCCCTCCCTCACTGCAGGGGTTTTGATTTGCACCCCCCACGCCCCTTCCCCATGACAGACTTACCTGCTGGAGGATTGGCATGCATAAGCACGCATGTGTTCAGGCCCCGCAAATAATATTTTCTCCTTCCACCTGTGCATCCACATGGCCCCTACGTTCATCGATCCATCCTTCTCCCCACAAACCCTCTCCATCCATCTGTCCATTCATTTTTACATCTTCCTTCCTTCCTTCCACACACCTTCTCCATCACTCCATCTGTCTATGTGCCCCTTCCAGCCTTCCCTCTACCCATCCACATGCTCCCTACATTCATCCATCCCCATACACACCCCCTCCATCCATCCATCCACATGCCCCTCCTTTTGTATCTTTTTACTTGCCTCTAAATCATGATATTGCACATTTATGTATTCCATAATATTACATAAAAATTGTCTATGTTACAAATGGGATTTATAGATGAACTATATTTATTAAATATTGTATGCATTATTTCATTTGATGTTCTTTAAAATATTTTATCACTTTCTTTTATATTCTTTTACATTTTACAATATTCATTATTTTATTAAATATTTTCTATTATTATTTTATATTCTTTTAAATATTTTGTTATTTCATGTTATGCTTATTTTATCTTATAGTCTATGGTATATCTTATTTTCTAGTATTTTGTTTTGGTCTGAACAATGATATTATGCAAGGTATGATGCACTATTATGTAACACAGTGTTTCCCAACTGGTGTGCCATCAGGTATGCCGAGGTGTGCTGTGGCATTTTGGGCTGGAGCCTCACCCCTCCCGCCTGCTGTTGCTGTGGACACAGAGTGATGGGGAGCGTGGCTCCAGCCAGGCATGGGGCATTTCCCCGGCCCAAAATGCTATCCGGCTGGCCGCACACCATCTCCCCCCCGCCGGCCCCCGCCAGCCCCCGCACTCCATGCCTGGTTTGTCATCGTGCTTTTTTATTTAGGTAAATGTGCTGTGGGGCAAAAAAGGTTGGGAAATGCTGATGTAACATAAATATGCAATAATAATATCAGATATACCTCAATCAGAGGTATATTGGATTAGACACCATAATGATATTGCTTATATAATATTTTATTTTAGCTTTAAAAAACAGTTTTATTTTTTCATTGTATGTTATTCTATTTTATCGTAGCATTTACGCTTTTCCTGTGTCTTGTTTGTTTATCCTGTGACTAACACTAATTGTCCAGGAAACAAATTTCCTAACAAAACCTTCCTCTGTGTGAAGGGTAGGATTATGGTCAATTTTATTGACTTCCTGAGCTTCCATTATGGATTGAAATGAGGTGACTGGAGCTGGGGGAATAATTACTGGCCACTACCAGACTCCATAACAAACAAATGCATATTTTATGCTAAATACTTTCCATCCCTAATTTACATTTTTGAGGCTGACCATAGCCAAGTCATATTCGCTTCAGGGCCTAATCAACTACTTTCTGGGATGGTGAGACCCCAGGGTAATTAACTGGTGTATTAATTATACGTATTAGGATTGTTGGTTACAGCCGTGTTGGTCTAAGGACACAGGCAGACAAGGTTCTTTGGGTAAATCTGATATCTTTTAGACCGACTAAATTTTAGTTGGTCAAATAAAAGTTTGAATATTATTAGTAGCTGGACTACATCTACCCAAAGAACTGTGTTGCTTAATTATGTAACGATTTATATGTGTATTGTATTTATATGAAATGAACATGGTGTGAATTGAGTATGTAATATGCCAAACATAGGCAATGTGTAGGGGGTGCACGGCGGTGCACGTGCACCCCCTGAGAGTATTGTTGCCCTCCTTGAGAGCAAGCGCTCTCGGCTTAGGCGACAGGCAAGGGGGGCAGGCAGAGCACTGGTGCCTCACCTGGGAAGTGCCTCTGGCACTTCTGGCACTTCCGGCACTTTCAGGCTCGGCGTCCGGCCACAGGAGGCACCCTGGCCCCGCTGCCGACACCTCCATGGCTGCCTGCAGACGGTCCCCACTTGGCCTGCCCTCGCCACCAACACCCACATCACTGCCTGCATGCAGTCACTGTGCCCCCCCGCCACCTCAGGAGGCACGCATAGCCAGAGATGCCGTATTGCCTGTACATTAATAAGATATTAAATAATGATATGTCATAACAGTGCATAAAATATATTAATGTGTTATCATTTGTGCATGAGCAATCATTAAATATGCTCATCATTAAGATATATAGAAGTAGATGCTAATATTGTGTAAAATATGCTAATTGGTTTTAATTTGTGAGTGAATTATCTTTAACTATGCTCTTCATTGATTGGCAACTGTTGATCCTCCTGGATCATGGTGTATGCATGAGGGCTACCCAGACCTTTGATGCATATGCCTGGGCAGGAATTTTTGGAGGAGTATAAGCTGCCCAGACCCACCATCCTTCCTTTAGGCCACTGAGACAGAATCCAAAGACCAGACTAAGTCCATATGTTTGGTGCCTCTATGGCTGTAATTGTGTAAGTGTCTAGAAATCGAAGCCAGGTCTCCTGTGTGGTAGACAAGAATTCTACCACTGAACCACAGGGGACTCCTATTGTCAGCTAATAATGTATAAAACGTGTGCGTTAACTAGGTTTTAAATGTGCTCTTCATTAAGTTATGTAATACTATGTGCTATGATCTCAAAAGCATTTTAATTGGTGTGTGAGCTACCTTTAAATATACTGTTCATTGATAAAGATACATAATGTTATATACTAATATTGCATAGAATATGTTAATTTATGTTAAAGTGTGCATTAACTAGCTTGAAATATACTATTAAGATATGTAATATTATGTGCTAATATGGCATAAAATATATTAATTAATTTTAATGCGTGCATGAACTAGCTTTAAATACCTTCTTCATTAAAATATGCAATATTATGTGCTACTGTTGCCTGAAATATTTTAATTTATTTTAAGTGGTCATGAGCTGTCTTTAAACATGTTTTTCATTTATAAATATAGGTAATATTATGTACTAATATTACATAGAATACATTTTTATTTTAATATGTGCATGATTTTTTTTAAATATGCTTCTAAGATATGTAATATTATGTGCTAATTTTGCATAAAATATATTAATTAGTTAATGTGTGGGTGATCTATCCTTAAATACCCTTTTCATCAATTAAGATATATACTATCATGTGCTAATATGGTATAAAATCAGTTAATTCCTTTTAATTGGTGCATTACCTTAGTTGGTGAAGAGCATGTGTAAAGATAGATAACACACCAATTAAAAGGAATTAACCTATTTGATTCCATATTCACATATAATAATATTAAATATGCGAACAAACAACATGCTTAATGATAATTATGTAATCTTATGTGTTTATGTGGCATAAAATATGGTAATTTATGTTAAAGTGTGCGTGGATTAGATTTAAATTTGCTCTTTAATAATGGAGTTATGCTACATTACCTGTTATTATTGCATAAAATATTTTAATTCATTTTAATTTGGGACTGAGCTATCTTTATTGAAGAAGATAAGTAATATTATGTACTAATGTTGCATAGGCTATGTTAATTTATTCTAACGTGCATTAACTAGCTTTAAGTACGCTCTTCATTGATGAAGATGGGCTAATATGACATAAAATAAGTTAATTTATTTTAACTGGTGCATTGTCTTAATTAATGAAGAGCACATTTAAAGATAGTTAGCATACCACTTAAATCAAAATAACCTGTGCTATGCCATATTAGCTCATAATATTACCTATCTTCATCAACGAGGACCATGTTTAAAGATAGTTACATAATATTAGGGGCTGATATGATGTAAAATAGGTAAATTCATGTCTATTTGTGTAGGAATGGTCATCAACTACCTCCATTGATTAAGACACATCATATTATCTGCTAATATTCTGTAAAATAGGTTAATTAATGTTAATTTGTGTGGAAATTAATTACCTCCTTCATTCATTAAGGTGCTTCATATTATCTGCTAATATTCCATAGAATACATTAATTCATGTTAACTAGTATAGGGACAGTTATTAACTTTGTCCTTCATTGATTAAGGTGAGTCATGGTATCTGCTAATATTCCATAGAATAGGTTAATTCATGTTAAATTGTGTGGGATCAATTTTAACTACCTTCTTCGTTGATGAAAACACATCATATTATCTACTAATATTATGTGAAATAGGTTAATTCATGTTAATCTGTATGGGAATGATCATTAACTAATTCCTTCATTGATTCAGATGTATCATATTATCTGTTAATATTCTGTAAAATAGGTTAATTTATATTAATTTGTGCCTGAGCTATCAAACACACTCTTCCTCCCCAATCTGTCTGTCCATCCACCTCTCCAACCCTTCCACCCCACTCACCTGTCAAGAGGGTCCCGATCCCCAACAGGGTCCCCAGAGCCATTTGGTGCTCACGGCCCCGCCAGATCTGGACCAAAGATTGACGGGCGCTGGACTGAGCTGTGGGGAAGGGAGGAGGAGGATGGGGGTCCGGAAATGGGGGTGGGGACCAGGGAAGGCAGGCACCGGCAGTGGTGAGCGTGACCTGCTGGTGACCTGGGGCCCAGTGGCAGGGGAGGTGTCAGAACCCAGCCTCCGGGGTTCACACACCTCCCTCCCCCCTAACAGGCAGGATGGGGAGGTGAGAAGCAGGGTTGGGGGCTGGAAGCCCAGGTGCCTGGGTCTGTTAGGCAGTGGGGTCTAGCGGGTTGGAGCAGGGGGAAATGGGGAGACTGGACACTTGGATTCTCTGAAAGGGGAGTTGGGGGCTAGAGGGTTGCAATAGGGAGAGCTAGATGCCCGGACACCTGGGTTCTCTGGGGGGTTGGATCAGTGGGGGGCAGAAGACGAGACACCTGGGTTCTCTGGGAGGGGAGTAGAGCTGGAGGGTTAGAGCAGGGCGAGCTGCGAACCCAGATGCCTGGGTTCTCTCCAGTTGTGGGAAGGGTGGGGGCTCTTCCATTTCACTTCCACCACCAAGTACTCTGCAGACCCGAGACCCTCTCACAGCCAGGCTCTTCTTCCACCAGTTTCGATCTCTGCACATGGAAACATCTTCTGACTTCACCTGACCACATGGGACTCCCAAAGGTGCCAGGTACAGAACCCCCTCATGTAGCACCCCCTCCAGGCCTAGCCTATGTCCCTGAAATCCTTCCCCCTTCCAAACCAGTACAGAACACTACAGGCTCCTTGCCACTGCCTTACCCCCCTTGCAGCTGAAACCCAGGCATTTGGCTAGAAGAACCCCCTTCACCCTTTCTGGATGCCAATGCTTCTACCAAATATGCCTGGATCTCTGCAGAAGAAATCTAAGAATTGCCTCCAAAAATCATGTTTTGGCCTTGAGTTTAAGTTCAGGGGGACCAAACCCAGGCATCCAGCCCAGACTGGGGCCTGATCCCCTTACTAATGAGCTCCAGTGGCTTCTGGGACTGAGAACACCCACAATCAGGCCTGTGCCTCTCAGCCAGGGGCTGCCATGGTAAGCTGACAGACTTGAGACCCTATAAAAGGTGCTGCAGCCCTTGAGACCCATGAGATTTATCCACATTCATACAATCCTCAAGTGGAAACCAGAGACTCTCAGTAGTAATCAGTGGATCCCAACCTTCCTCCCATAGCTGGGGGCTGCTTGAGATCTGCAAGACTCTCTGTGGGATTATTGCCCCCATAGTCAAAAAATGTAAGAGCCTAAGAAGGACTAGATGGGGTCAGACCCATGGGCCATCTAGCCCCATATCTCATCCCTGACAGCAGCCAGGGTGAATGCTATAGAGGGAGAGCACTGAATTGGATAGATCTACTGTGATCTATCCCTTATTCAGCAGCCTCCCTGGCTCCCACCATCACTGGGTGAGAGATGCCAGAGGAGACAGCTCCACCCGTCCTGTTTGACAGCAATGGATAAATCCATCCTTCATGAGTTCATCCAGTCCCAAGTTGAACCCAGCTCTGCTCTCAGCCTCTACCCCATCTGGTGGCTATGAATCCCATATGTTAATGACCTGCTGGCATCCAAAGGTCCTTTCTCTTGTTCGTTTTAGACCCATTACCTTCTATTTTCAGTGGGTTCTCCCTGTTCTGGTCTTCTGGGACCTGGGGAACAACAGGTCCTGAGTCATTTGGTCTACACCCTTCATGGTGTGATAGACCTCCATCCTTTCTCCCGTTCAGCTGACTCTTTTCCAAATGGAATTTCTGGTCTCTCCTGAGATGGTAAAGGCTTCAGGTCCTTTCTCTGAACATTTTCTACCTTCAGGGCTTCTTAGACCTTAATGCTGGAGGGCAAGAGAGGAACAGTAGAAAAAACTGGTCATACCCAAGTCACCCTCCATTTCGGTGTCCAATCTCTGCCTCTGTAACACAGGAGATTGAGCAAGATGGACTTGGGTCTGACCCAGTGAATGGCAGCTCTTATGGGGTTTTTTTTCTCTGCCTTCTTTTTACCTGTTTTTATCTTTACCTGATAACATACAAAGAAAAGGTGGAATCGGGGCGGTTTTTTGTTTTCCGTTGGCTGTGAAACGAGCGAAGATTGTCGTTAACTTTGACCTGAAAGTGACAACTCAAAGGTAGAAGAGAATTGTTCTTCTGAATGTGAAATGAATGAACACAGATGGTAGATTACATGGAGTTTCAACCTGAAACTGACAAGCAAAAGGGAGAAAATCAATTGTTCTACTTTATGGTAAATTAACGAATGCAGCCGGTGGATTGCTTTCAGTTTTAACATAAAACTCACTGATAAAAGATAGAAGAGAATTTTTCTTCTAAAAATGAACTGAATGAATAAGGCTGGTAGATTATTTCTAATTTCAACATGAGACTGACCAATAAAATGGAAAAGAGAATTTTCCTTCTTAATGTGAAATGAACTAATAAACCTTGTAGATTACTTTTAGTTTTAATGTGAAACTGGCTGATAAAAGGGAGAAGATTAATTGATTTACTTAATCAGCCAACTTTATTTATTCTTTTAACATACTTTTAGTTTTCATGTGAAACTAATAAGTGAAGGGAATTGTTGTTCTACATGTGAAATATATTAATACAGCTGGTAGATTGCTTCAGTTTTAACATGAAACTGACTAATAAAAGGCTGAAAAGAATTAATCTTCTTAAGGTGAAATGAACAAATACAGCTAGGAGGTTACTTTTAGTTTTAACCTGAAATTGACTGATACGAGGAAGAAGACTAATTATTTTTCCTAATGTGAAGTTAATGAAGAAGGTTGGTAGTAGATGACTTGCAGTTTTAACCTGAAACTGGCCAATAAAAGGTAGAAGAGAATTATTATCCTTAATATCAAATGAATGATTAAAGCTGGTAGATTTACTTTTATTGGTCAATTTCACTTTAAAACTATAAGGGAGAAGATCAATTGTTTTACTGAATGTTCATTGTGGAATACAGTTGGTAGTTTGTTCGGTTTTCACTTCAAACTGACCAATAAAATGCAAAAAAGAATGAATCTTCTTAAAGTGAAATGAACAAATACAGATAGGAGGTTACTTTTAGTTATTTTAAACCTGAAAGTGAGCAATAAAAGGGAGACCAATTGCTTAATGTTAACATTAAATTAAGGAATACAGCTGGTAGACAGCTTTCAGAATTAACATGAAATTGACCCCCCAAAAAGGTAGAAGAAAATCATTTTTCTTAAGATAAAATGAAATAATACATCTGGTAAATTACTTTTGGTTTTTATGTGAAACCGAAAAATAGGAGGGAGAAGATCAAGTTTTTTCTCTGAATGTGAAATGAACAAATAAGGCTGGTAGATTACTTTTAGTTTTAATCTGAAACTGATAGATAAAAGCTAGAAGAGAATTATTTGTCTTAACATGAAATGAACTAATAAAGCTAATTGATTGCTTTTAGTTTTAACTCGAACCTGGTAAATAAAGGGGAGAACATCAATTGTTTCCCTTAATGTTAAATTAGCGACTATGACTGGTAGATTGCTTTCATTATTAATGTGAAATTGACCAATAAAAAGTGGAAGAGAAAGCTTTTAATTTTCATGTGAAACCAGGATTCTGGTTTTCTCTGATTTAAAAAAAAATCCCCAATTTTTGGATTTAAAAAAGTAACCCCAAATCCACATTTTATCTTGATTAAAATGAAACACCACATGTATATATTAGTGGTGTTTCATTTTAACCATGGAAAGATGTGGATTTGGGGTTAGTTTTTAATCCTAAAATTGGCGATTTTTTAAAATCAGAGAAATCCAGGATCCCTGCTGATAAATAAAAGGGAGAAGATTTAAATTGTGTTTCTTAATGTGAAATTAATAAATAAGGCTGGTAGGTTACTTAGAGTTTTAACATGAAACTAGCCAATAAAAGGGAGAAGAGAATTATTCTTCTTAATAGGAAATGAACAAATAGGGCTAGTTGATTACTTTTAATTTTAACATGAACTTGCCACATACAGTAGAGTATCTGGAAAGTCATTTACCCCTGGAAGGTTTTATATTAGCCAAATCATCGGCCCATAGTTGGGTTTTGCTGGTTGTTGAGACAATGGTGCATTGTGCACTGGGAACTTAAAACCTTGCCCAGAACCAGGCGTTTATTTCATGCTGGGGTTTTTTTTAATATTTCCTGTCCAGGACAGGAATTAAGGCCCAGGTATCAGCACTTTCTACAGCTGTGTTTGATCATCCAGAAAAACTGATAATCAAGATTGAAGGCAATACTAATTAGTCCTGATTAATTGACTTTCTACTGTATCGTAAATTAACTAATTGGGTTGGAAACATTTTTTTCAGCTAACCATAAATGCACGCACAAAAAGGCAATCAAGGGCCTCTAGGGTGTGCGCTACGTGATAGAGGTGGTAGCAAAGATATTAGTTTTAATGATAACAATGATAGTGATTGTAATGACGATAATGATAATTACTGTCACCATCACTGCAATCATTGCTACCCGATAGCTGTGATAGCAATGATACTAGTAGTAGCAGTAGTCAACCACTGATCCTTCTGGATTACGGTGTATGAGTGAGAGGTCACTAGGACTGTTGATGCGTATGCCTAGGCAGGAGTATGGAGGAGAGGAGGCTGCCCAGACCTTCCATCCCACCTTTAGGCCATTGAGACTGTATCCAAGGCCAGACTGAGTTTGGGCAGGCAGTGCCTCATTAGCTGTAACTATCTTACCTGCATATCTGGGAGTCAAACCCAGCTCTTCCACACAGTGGGCAAGGATTCGACCACTGATCACAACAGCGGGTGATATTTGTTGTAATGATGATACTAATAATAGTAATAGAAATGATGACGGTAATGATAACAGTAATCGTTTCTATCATTACTATCACTATGATACAAGTAGTAATGATGATAGTGATGATGTAATAATTGCTATCAACATTATTCTCATTACTATTCTCATTACTATTACCATCACTTTCAACATTACTACAATCATTTTGACTAGTATCTTTGCTATTACTACTACTACCATCATCATTACTATCATTGCTATCACCATGGTAGTAACAATGATGATAGTAATGATAGTAGTAAAAATAATGACAGTGATAATAATGGCAGTCATTACTATTGTTGCTATTACTATGGTACTAGTAGTAATGATGACAGTGATGATAATAGTAATGATTACTGTTGTTATCACTATCATTACTACTAGCACCATAGTAATAGTAATGATAGTAATGATTGCTGTTATCATCACTGTCATCATTTTTACTACTATTATTACTACTAAAATTCCTACCAGTTTCACTGCTATCATCACTAATGATTCCACTACCACTATCATCATTACTACCATCATCATTACTAGCATGATAATGGTGGTAGCAATGGTAATAATGATGATGGGTGATGGCAGCAATAACCATTGTCATGGCCGTTATTCCTGCTGTCATTTTTATCATTATCAGTATAGTCATCATTATTTTATTGTTACCATTTTGCTATTTTATTGGTATTGTTTTATTGTTGCTGTTACACCCACAGAAAGGTAACACTTGGGTAAATCTCAGATCAAGATGGGAGATTATTTTCAGCGTCACCACATGGACAAATATGTTTCGAATCAAATGGAGAGATTTTGTGCATTTTTTTAGTTTTTCACACAAAATCACAAGCACTCTGCTGTTACCACTAGAGATGGAGGATTCCTTTGAGTTGTACCCTGAAATACTGCAGCTGTCTGGAGAGAACCAGAAGATGGGTTTTAATTAATAACGTGAAACTTATGTATTTTGTACATTTTCTGCTAAAGCTGAAACAAAAACTTAACCTAAGAACATCAGAGCTGCCATAGACTGGGCCAGACCTTGGTCCATGTTGCCTGGTCTCTTATGTCCCATGGGGGCAAAGAGTGGATGCTGGAAGGGGGACTGAACTGGGTCTAACCAGGGTTTTTGCCACTGTTCCTCTCCCACCTGAAGCCTCCAGCATTTAAGGTCTAGGAAGTTCTGATTCAGAAGCCTCACTCCTGTGCTCATTGGCTACAAATGCCCCTTTCCTCCAAGAATGAGTCCAATCCCTGTTTGAATTTGGCTGAACTCTCAGCTTCCACCTCTAGCAGGCTGTTGGAGCCAGAGGCTACAGCCCAGCTGTGGGCTGTAATGCTAAGTACAAGCTGCTCAGGAGGACTGAGCAACAATCTGGAAGACAAGGATGGAGTGCACCCTCAGCAAGTTTGCAGATGACACCAAGCTGGGGGCAGTAGTTGATACGCTAGAGGGTAGGGCTAGGATTCAGAGAGAGCGCAATAAATTGGAGGATTGGGCCAAAAGAAATCATATGAGGTTCAACAAGGACAAGTGCAAAGTGCTGCACTTAGGACAGAACTGTCCCATGCACAGGCTGGGGACTGACTGGCTAAGCAGCAGCTCTGCAGAAAAGGACCCAGAGTTCACAGTTGGCAAAAAGCTGAATATGAGCCAACAGTATGCCCTAGTTGCCAAGGCTAATGGCATCCTGGGCTGCATAAGTAGAAGCATTGCCAGCAGATTAAGCGAAGTGATTCTTCCCCTCTATTCAGCATTGGTGAGGCCACATCTGGAGTCCAGTGTTGGGGCCCCACTCCAGAAAGGATGTGGGCAACATATGCTGTGGAAGGCTGGGACAAATGGGGTTTAACCCCATCAGTACAGGGCAGCGGTGGCAGGGCAGAGGGCCACAGGGCAGCCCAGGCATGGGCTCTGGGTGGCTGCAGCAAGGCAGGGAGGGCACACACAGACACAGGCACACAGCCACAGCCTGTAGCAGCCTGGTGGCATGTAGAGCACTGACCACGACAACAGGTAAGTCTGTCATGTGGAAGGGGCATGGGTGGCCAGATCGAGACCTCCACAGTGAAGGAGAGAGTGAGACAGAGGCAGAGGCAGGGGCTGGGATGAATGGGTCACTGGGGCTGGGGTGGGTTGTGGGATGCTCGGAGCCTGTGCGGCTCGTCTAGGGGTTTTGGAGTGGGGGGGCTCCCTCCACTGCCCATACCCCAGCAGAGGCTCAGAGAGTACATGCCTCCTGAATCTGTGTGGGGTGGAGGTGGTTGCTGCTGTGGGCTGGGCTCTGTGCCCGGCTGCTGCTGCTACGGGAGTGGCACAATGCCATGTGCCTGCCATGCGCTAACCACACCATGTCCCCTGCCTGCCCAGCAATGGCCAGCACATAGTGTCACACCACTCCCAAGGCAGCAGTAGCAGGGCCAGAGCCCAGCATACAGCAGCAGCCACCTCTACCCCGTGCACAGATCCAGGGGCACATGCCTCCCAGGCCTCCACCAGGGTGCCCACAGCAGCAGGAGGTCCCCTGCCCCACCCCATGCCGCTGGACAAGTTGCCCAGGCTCCAAGCATCCCACAACCTGCCCTGGCTCCTGGGGCCCCATTCACCCCAGCACCTGCCCCTGCCTCTGCCCCACTCCCTCCCTCACCATGGGGACCTCAATATGCTCCCCACTGTGGTGACGCATAGGGGGTTCATGGGGGTGCAACGGCACCCCCTGAGAGCGCTGTTGCACCCCCTGACAGCAGCATTTCCCATTTAGGCGACGAGTGGGGGGGCAGACAAGAGTGCTGGTGCCCCCCCTTAAAGCATCAGCTGGGGAATGGGGGTGCCAGGAGAAGTGATCCCCATGGTCCCCCCGTGACTGATCATGCTGACGGGGGGC